AGTATCACCTAGAATAAATATGTACCCACAAAAACTTACTATAGTAAATAGATTTGATTAAAATTGCAATTCAGCCGTGGATAGATATTTGTCACCATCAGTATTTTTAAAATTTGATTCGTCACAACAAACATTCTAATTTAACATTTAATTAATTCCTCGAAGGATTAAATTTGTCACCAAAAACTTTTAAGGAAATGAATATTTCCATAACATTTTGTGCTCTGCTTTGGTACTTTTCTTATAGTGATAGAAAAGGGGAAATGACAAATAGAATATTTGTATTTTTCTCCTTTTCCAATGGTTGATATTCATGTTAGGTGTACACATAACATTATTCCATTAATATAAACAATATTTTTTTATATCATTTGTGAAAGGAAGATTAAATTTTAAGTGTTTTTATTCTTTAGATCACAATATTTTAGATATGCATGGAGGTAATATAGATCATGTGATCATTACTAAGAGTACATAATTAGAGAAATGTGTTTGAGAGATATACTTTGATGGTTGAGTATGTTAAAAGTCTGAGTAGATTTTAGGAATGACAACATAGCATGTCCGAGTCGGTGTGTGCTTACACAACTCTGAACCCGAAATTCAAAACCTGAACCTGAATTAAGCGGGGTTGAAAACAATGATACAATCCCCGAATCCGCCGGGTTTGCGTAATTCGAACCCGATGAAAATCCGTCCAAAACATATATAATCCGATGAAGTGTACCAAACCCGAACCCGAAAATTGGACTCGGTAAAACCCGAACTCATTGACATCGAGTTTTCCCATTAAATTCGGGTTGGATTCGGGCGAGTACATGCGTCTTTTGTTTTTCATTGCCATTCTTTTCTTTCCAAATTATCATCATAATGGCATTTTGAAATGGAAAGTGGTTTAGAAGAATGAGAGCAGATTAATATAATCATAGTGATAAAATGAAATAGATTAAAGAAAGGATACACCAAGAAAGGAGTATTGAGCTTGAACTTTCCACCAGAAAGAGGATGAAGCACTGATAAGAAGTAATATATGTGCCCTGCAAGCATCCCTATAATATTTGGTATTATAGGATTTCCAAATATTAAATCCAGAGCTAACAAAGCCCATGGAAGGTAAAAGCCCTGCAGAACACCCAAGATTTAGATTCCAGAGTGCAATAGTTGTTCCTCAATCCCAACTGATAATAACGAGATTTTAAATTGCGGTCCGTGATTGCAATTGAGATCACAATGTTGTATTTTTATAGTTTTTGATATCGCAATTATGGCCACATTTTCCCACAATTGTTTGCAACTGTGGTAATCGTAACCGACTGCTGTGGGCTAGCCCCCAAGCGAAGGATTTATTTTGGCAATTATGCATGGCATATTCTGACAGCTAATCAAAGAAACATGCCTATATGTGTTTGATGCTATATGTAGTCGATACTAAGACCATATAAAAGGTAAAGGTTTGTTAGACAGTCGACAGTTAACATAAAACTTTGTCGAATCTCTATGATATAGATCAATGATATATCTTGCCAGCTAGAACTCACCTAGGTCAAAATGGAGTAGAGTTTGGTACAAGATTCGACTTGTGTTCATGTTAGAGGAAAAAGGCAAATGACTTCTTTTTTGGAATGTGTAGCACACGGAATTTAAATTACAGTCGTGATGACTTGCGACTACTATGGTTGCAAGCATTATGGTCGCTGCAATGCAGATAACCACAGTCTCTGTAGCACGGATAAGTGAAACTCCTTCACGTGTCGGTATCAGACATGTATTCGACACGAATATGCTCCGATTCGTCATGGATATGCATCTGTAGACTATCGACGTATCGGATACGTATCTTATCCGACACACGTATCTGTATTTGTGCTTCATAGACCACAGTTGTGACATGAAATTTTCGCAACTGAACATTGGTTTCCCCATTCTCAAACTTAATCTGTTAATGTTGACACTGTCTTCTTTGAGGTTTACATGCTTCTTATGGTATTGGAATGATCATTTGGGATTGGATAGGTCATTTTGAATGCATGGAAGAACCTTTTAGGAGTTTGGATAGCTAAGACAATAGCATGGGAAATGGGGTGTGCAAGACTATTACACTTGAAGGTACCACTAGAGGTGTGTGCATTGAGAATTGAGTTATGGATTAATATGTAGTCGCAAAACCAATTTCAAACCGAAAACCGGGTCGCGACAACTAACACGAAAGTGAAAAGTCGTTTGTAAAATATTTAGAATTTAGAGAAACATCAGCTGGCTTTTCAGCTGAATTTAGATTCAGTCATTCTAATATCATAATGTATCAAATTTCTGATGACATTGTCAAAGTATAGAAGCAGTGTTAGCAAAGAAAAGTTGGCGAAAATTTATACCTTCAATGACACGACGCCATAAATGTTGATTCGAGCATTTGGAAATTCGCGGCCCCAAATGTAAGCTATCATGAAAACTAAAGAAGTTCCCATAAATGGAGACCTTAAGAATGGCACAGCAGCCATCACCTAAGATGAGGATAAAACTGTGAGTTCCAAAACATGCATAACAAGTAGAAATGTTCTAAATTCTAATTAATGTTCATTAGCTACCCAAAATTTATGCCAAATTATATTTTTTGGGAACACTTATACTTGATTGTTTTATTAAAGCTAAATATTATCAATTGTTTATGAAGAAACATAAGAAACTTTATGAGGAGATAGAGAATAAAATGTCATGAAAAGAGCCTTTGTAGTATGAATTTTGCAGTTTTATGTTCTGCCTGCAAAGAAATGCTGTGCAGAAAAAATGTGAATGCAGGCTATGTCAATCATAAAAATGATTCATTTTGTGGCAAAAGAAAACCTTTAAATAAAGCTAAAAAGAGTGTGAAGTACTTGATCCTTGACTGCATCAACTGCAGCTCATTTTTTTCCTGCAGCAGATCCAGGTCCTTTCATTGACCATGTTTTCCAAAAAAACTTTTATTTGCTTACCTTATTCCTTCATTTTATGTTGGCTTAAAAAAAAGTGTGCCACAGTACAGGATCTCACTTAATGAGTCCGGGAAAGATAGGTGTGCACAGTCTTATCTCTGCAAGCGCGAAAATGTTGTTTCCAGAATTTGAACTCATAACCTTATAGTCGGTAAGCAGCAACCTTACCGTTGCGCCAAGTTCACCCTCCTCATTTCAAATTGGCTTACTTTCTTAAAACTAGTTTAAGTTGATTCTTTAGTAAGTGCTGAACAAACATTTGCAAACCAACACTTATTGACTTGGACAACTTAGGTTTTGTTTACGAGTTGAGTTTTGGAGGGGAATGAAAGGGAAAGCTTAATAGTCATGAAATATACTTGTGAGATGGCTTTAAAGTATTCCTATTCCTTTCTTTCTCCTCCAAAACTCAACTCATAAACGAACTCTTCTTGTCCGTTGTATTAGCAGTTCACCCAAGTGAAGAGCCTAAGCATCATCAGTGATAGATTAGTCATTTCCAGCATTGAAGTCTGAAGAAATTTATGCACATTTTAGGATTATGGTTACCGACTCCATTGTATTGTGAAAGTGATTGTTGATGAACAAGAGAAACAAGTAGATTGAATAAAGGAAATGGGAACAAAAGAAAACACTTTTCATTTCTCCAACTGAAAATCAAAAGATGATAAAAAGTTGAATAAACAGATACTGTTCTGACATACCAGAAGTGAGAGTGCACCAAATATGAACATCCAAACATAATCAGCAGTTCTCTTGTCAAAGGGTCCTCTTTCCAATGAAACACCATATTTTGCTCTGCAATTCAATATTCAAACAATTATATGAATAACATGAAACTTTGAAGACAATCTTACAAATAATTCTCTCATGAAGGATTCAAGATTATATAACATGCTTGTGATCATTAATTCTCAAAGTATAGCAGAATACAAACAAGGAGTTGGTCTTGTGGCGTAAGGTCCTGCTAGATCGTCAGTATGACTAAAAGGTCAAAGGTTGGATTCCTGTATGCGACACTTATTGGGAGGGGCAGACACATACCCGAAATGATTAATTCCTTACCCATAAGTTGAGGGATACCCTAGGTGGTACACAAACCAGTGATTTAAATTATGGACCGCATCACCTTATGCGGCCGCAATATTGTGGTTGCGGCGACCACCCCAACCGCATCACACCGAAATTGTGGCGTGACTTTGAATCACAATGATGCAGCCGCATGGGGCCGCAACCGCATCGGATCGCATTTGGATCACGTTAGACCACACCAGATTCAAAAATATTATTTTAATAACAAAATAATTCACGCCGCAACTGCCGCAATCCGCAACTGCAACCACAGTTTAAAACAATGAACCCAGAATGAGATCCAAGTTACATAAGTTACTTACATCATTATTAGACGAACTGCAAATGGTAATGAAAACGGTCCAAGAAAGAAGAAATTTGTAATAAGTCTCCAAACCTGCAAAGATATAAACACACATCATTTTGTCCTTGTCAATAACATTCAACAAGTTTTACATTGATTGATACAACCCTCACCTTTTATCCGGGTTTTAGATCGACTATGTATAAACTTATAAAAAAGCACAACATACTTAACAAATATAAACAAACATGATCATGAAAATTTAGTAGTAAAGAAAGAATATTGAAAATGGTATGAAATAATGGTTAAACATTGATGGGTGCTTATGACAAACCTGGAAGCGCTTGAATACTAGGCCATAATCTAGTGCTATGTTCCATGCATCATAAAGTTGCAGATAATATGCAGCAGTGGTCATCAAACAAGTTACTCCATAGATCTTGCTCACAGGTGGTAGAGACCGGTAATAACTGAAACAGTAGAGGCAATTTAATTGATCTTAGTGTGTAACAAAGATCCATATCATACAGATTCGATTAAGTTTTACATTGGTTATCGACTACCTAACACAACATGCACCTTTATTCAGGCTTAGGACGGACTAAGTATAGCACCAAACACATATAGCCAAGTTCTTTTAAAAGGTGCAACACAACGACTTATCGGGAGGTCACCCATCCAAATACTAATCTTAACCAATCACGCTTAACTGAGGAGATCTAATGGGATCCGGTGTATTGGTGCTAGTATGATCTATGATAAAGCATTATGGTATCATTCGATCCTCCTCTGAAGAACGCATACGTCAAAATCCTTCACGTGTCGGTGTCGGACACGTATCCGACACGGATACGCTCCGATTCGTCATGGATACGTGTCCATAGAGTGTCCAAAAAATAAAAAAAATATTAAGATACGTATCTAAAACGTTTTGAACAAAAACTATGATAGATAGGATATGTATCTGAAACTTTTTGAACAAAAAAACTAGGATAGATATAATACGTTTTAATCAAAGCATCTCAATAATCAAGGAAAATACAAACTTATTTAAAGGCAAACACTAATTAAGGATAATGATTTCATTATACTTTCTACTTTGGATATTTTGATTTACACATATAATTTCATATTTTATATATTTTTTACTATTTTATACACGTATCCAGTAATCTAGAAAAAATGCGTATCGGCGTATCAGATATGTATCATATCCAATACACGTATCCGTATTTGTGCTTCGTAGATTCGATCTATGCAGTCGACATCACCTAGGAGAATAAAGGCTTGATTGTTGTGTTGCCATGTTTAACAAAGGTTATAGAGAAACAGACTTAATCAGAAATATTTGATAGCAATGGTAATGTTAAAATTTAGAACTAAGCTCAAAAGTATAAGACATGATAAGAAGCAAAATTTAAGCATAAGTGAAATGACTATGATGAAGTTTCCAGTATCTGAATATTTAGTCCAATAAAAAAGTTCATGTATATATTATGTATGCATTCCAGTAGAAGAAAATCCAACATATAAGTTATATAATCAATAGCCATGTTTCTTCATATTTGTGTGTTAAGAGAGAGGGAGGGAGGGAGAGAGAGAAAGAGTACTCTGCTGGTGTAGACATATTGGAAGAAATATGAATTAGCAATGCAAAACTACAATTTCAAGTAGACAAAAGGAAGCTATATTTAAATATAAAAATCTGCACAGTACATATAGGCTCTTACTTATGGAGTGGGAAGTTGTGTGAAAAACAAAGAAAACAAAAATGAAATGACACTTGTATCTTTGTTAATTATATTAAGATTGCATTTTTTACCTTAAAAACCAAAGGAAAAAAGACTTTTCTCTCAATTACTTAAGAAGAGTCTCACTCTTTACTTAGTCCAGTCTAAGGAGAATAGGGAATATATATTGAAAATTCTAAAAGAAAAAACGTATATATATATAGACAGCCAATAAAATATTGACAATATATTAAAATTTTAATTTTAATTTTAATTAAAATTTAGTCATGAATGATAGCACCACAATAAATATACTTGTCTCTAAATATAACATGTTTTATACATCTAAATACAGGTTTTTTTAATATAAAGTGTGGAATAAGTAGTGGGAGTGGGCCCTACGAAAGTAATGAAAATTCAAAGTCTAGCACCAAATAACACTCTAGCATTTATTTTCTTGGAAGCACTGAATTGACTTATTGACATTTAGGACATTTAGGATTAGTCTCTGCCACAATCCATTCTACTTAATTTAGTTTGTGTCACCAATTCAAGGATGTGATGCAATAGAGTTGATTTGGTCTTTTGATACTATTACTAAGCTAAATGCCTCCTAATTTTTTATTTTAGGTTCAAAGAATGTTAATTCTTTTTTAAGATATAAGAGTCTCCGTGTAATGGTAAGGTTGATTATTTTATCATTTCTTGTTTCATAGGTCAAATCCTAGAAAGAGTCTCTTTGTGAGACTAAGGTTATGTACTATTTGGAACAAACAAATAATCTAACAGTAAAAGAGAATAAGGAAAAAGAGAGAATAACACAACGAATTTGATAACGATTGTGAACACTCAATTTTGTCCGGCCCAAAATAGATTCTAAAAAAGTGATAATAAATAGTAAATAAATTCAAAAATGTAATTTACATTGTCTGAAAACAATGTTTTAAATAAACAATATTTGGTGCTAAAAATGAGCATAATACATTCACTTAAAAAGGAAACTAAACCTCCCACCCCCAACTTCTTCAGGTGCCTTAATGGGAAGATCCTCCCAAATTATACATTCACCATCTCTTATAACTTAAACAAATCAACATTCAATCTCTCAAAAGGAAAAGAAATCAAATCATCATCAATTTAATAAAGGCAATCAAACAGGATTCCAAAAATAACACTAAATAAATATATTTAATACAACCAATCAACATAATCCCAAAAGGATGACACTAAGGATATGTAGATTAAGGATCTTGATAAATTAAGCATAATCAGGCAATAATGATTAGCATTAAGGTGATAATCACCAATTATAAATAGAGCATCAAATAGTGGTATCAATAAGGCAACTAGAGATTCAAAGTGAAAACTAAGGCAATCAAGAGCATCAAAAACAACAATTTGGAATAGGAATATATCAACATAAAAAGGGAATAATTAGAGAAGCAATAAAGGTGATTGGATACAAATTAGAAATTGGAAAGGTTCTCATGAATCTCAATCATTACAAAAGGAAGTAAGCTATTTCAAAAAGAGGAGACATAAAAAAATACTCAAACTCATTTTTTACCCTAATCCAGATACCCACACCACATTAGACAGAATTTTTGGCAATCAATAAACACACTACACCCATCTATTTCTTCCATCTCTAATCCCCTCATCATCTCTATACCTATACACATATACATACCATAGACTGACATAACCCCTTCCAGAAAGCTTCTTACTTTTACCATTCGCCACACCCACGTTCCTGAATCTCCAAATCGGCATTCCCAAATACACAACGCCTACATTCATACATAAGCATATTCGATTTCCATATAGAACATACACTTTTTCACATGTAACCAAAGTACACTAGAAGAGATATCATACATCAGTCAGGGATCGTATAATACACACAATCCTACATACACACAATAGAGGAATTAGAAAAGGGAAAGGACTCAGTCATCCCAACAAGCAGAATAATCCAAATTCAGTAATTCTAGCATCTTCGAAAACAAGGCAAAAGGTAAAAGCATATCCAAGTAAGTCATTTGTTCAAACCATTAAATAGCAATGCATTTTTATGCATCCTGAATACCAAACAATCACACATATCCAATAGAATTACCCCTACTTATTTGATTTTCAACTATTGATCCAATGTTATATGCTTAGCACATGTATATGTATTTTTACTGAGTTGTTTAGAAACGATTATGTCCAAATCAATTGATTCCATGGAAATGGATACAAATATTTGGCTAAAAGAAAAATTTCCTAGTGATACATGTATCAAATAATGCACTATCTTTATTCATTTTACCGAAATGCTTTAAATAAAAATTATAGCAAGGTTATGGTTCGAGTCGACTCTGACTTCCCCGAAAATGGGAAGAAGGTGAGCGACCAACACCATCTCTAAACTATTAACTCCGTATATAACAAATGTTTTAGATAAAAAAATTACCTTATTACTAAAACAAATTTTAATGGAATTTTTATAGTAAGGTTACGGTTCGAGTTGACTCTGACTTCTCTGAAAATGGGAAGAAGGTGAGCGACCAATACCGACTATAAACTATTAACTTCATGCTAAAATGTTTTAAATAAAAATTACCTTATTACTAAAACAAATTTTAATGGAATTTTTATAGTAAGGTGACTTCTCTGAAAATGGGAAGAAGGTGAGCGACCAACACCGACTCTAAACTATTAATTCCTTATCAAAAGTATTTTAGAAAAAATCATACTGTACTTCAGCATATTTTAAAACTACCCAAACCAATTTAATTACTTTTCAAACCAGAACTACGTAGCCTTGATTTCCCTATTGCACCTAGGGATACGTAGGAGCAAGATGAACTCTTGTCAGGCACAACAATAAAAAAATAAAACATTTCGCTTTAATTACTAAATTTTAATAAAGAATTCATAAGGGTATAAGAGTCCATGTTATTAGCGAGGGTACCGTTTTAATACGGGCGGACGGGGTGCTAATACCTTCCCCAATCCGTAATCGACTCCCGAGCTCAGAATCTCTGTTCAAAGACCAAGTTCTCCAAATTGGGCATATAGAGAGTTTTCTACGTTTTATCCGCAAAAAACGTAGTGGCGACTCCAAATCAATTGGAAAAGGTAGAAATCGAGTTCGCCTCTCCCTAAGTCGCAGGGCCGGTCTTCCAACCGAAAATCGGGTCGCGACAACGATAATCAATTAATTGTGTCTACGTCCCCGAGAGCATTGAGAGATTATCAATATATTTCATAGAATAAGAATTTGTATTTGTGGCTATTGTTGTTTTTCTACATTAAGTTTACATAACATATGAATATATAACTCTCTACCTCAATCCTTTTACATTACTCAAAACCTATAACTTGCATTACACTTATATGGAGAAAATGTCTGATCCAATGGGATATGAGTCATATCACAACAATCTCCACGTTGGTGAATATCTACAATCTCCATCTTCTGCTGTTAAGTTAGGTGCACTCCATAATCTAGCATCAGTTAATGTTTAGCAAGCTCAAGCAATGTCTAACATGTCAGCTCTATTTTATGAAGTATGAATCTTCTGCAATAGCATACACACATCTCTGGTCTTGTGAAATCTCAAATCAATATATTGGTCCTAGCATGATACACTTAGTTCTTTGCCAATGAGTTAACACTCTAGTTGTCACACTACAGCAAAACTTCATCTTGCTGAATGTACACTTCACTTACCAGTTTTATAAGTCATTGGGCTTCTTTAGAAGTTTCACCAATTGTCATGCACTTTGCTTCAATTGTGGACATAGCAACAAGAGACTGAAGTTATGATCTTCATACAATCGGTCTACCTGCAAGGGTGAAGACAAACACTATTGTGGACTTTCTATAATCCAAGTCCAATGCGTAGTCCGAATCAAAATAACTAACAAATGAAGTCTTACTGTATTGGTTGCCAAATATGATACTGCGACTATAGTCCCCTTCAAATATCTAAAAACTCATTTGACTGCTCCCAAAATGTTGTTTCCCCGATTTCGACAT